GTTCTCAAAACGCCATACCCCCTCGGCCCTGTATGTCAACAGGGTCGAGGGGGTACGGCGTTCTCGAAACGCCGTACCCTCGGTCCCACCTCCACCCGGCAACCGATGGGGGTACGGCGTTTCGAAAGCGCCGTACCCCCTCCGGTTCTCAGTGGGGGTGGGAGAGGGGGTGCGGCGTTCTCGATAACGCCGTACCCCCGCTCCCACCCCCACCAAGAACCGGAGGGGGTACGGCGTTTCGAAAACGCCGTACCCCCTCCGGTTCTCAGTGGGGGTGGGAGAGGGGGTGCGGCGTTCTCGAAACGCCGTACCCCCGCTCCCGCCCCCACCCGGCAACCGAAGGGTGTAGGCGTTTCCGAAACGCCGTACCCCCTCGGCCCTGTATGTGAACAGGGTCGAGGGGGTACGGCGTTTCGAGAACGCCGTACCCCCTCCGGTTCTCAGTGGGGGGTGGGAGTGGGGGTACGACGTTCTCGAACCGCCGTACCTCGGCTCCTTTCGCCTTTTGGCAACCGAAGGGGGAGGTACGGCATTTTGAAAACATCGTACCCCCTCTGCCCTATCTGTGAACAGGGTCGAGGGGGTACAACGTTTCGGAAACACCGTACCCCCTCCGGTTCTCGGTGGGGGTGGGAGCGGAGGTACGGCGTTCTCGAAACGCCGTGCCCCCTCCAGTTCTCGGAGAGGATAGGGAGGTGGGGCGCATGGCGTTCCCAGAACGCCGTAGCCCGGCCCCGTAGGTGGACAGGGTCGACGGGTGCGGCGCTTCGAAACGCCGTGCCCCCTCGGCCTTGCTTCAGTGAACCGGACGGGGTAGGTCGTTTTCAGAACGCCCTATACCATGCGACGCTCTAATGCGTCGGCAACTCACGTGAGGCAATGGTGGAAGGTTTGAAATCTGAATATCATCCGTTCCTTCGTTTGGAATGTGCCTGCCATCAGGAGGAGCATCTGTTGTCCCAGAAAAGAGAGTCTACAACACGTGCACAATCTATACGGATAGGGAGTGGGCCCTTGATTGGGTGGGGGGGCTACACGAGGCGGGATGTGGGGCTGCTGTGTTTCTAAGGAACGCCTTGGGTGACGACTGATTCTGTGTTGGAGGGATTATTAAATCCGAGGATGAGAGGGTGGACGGGCACGGACGGAAGTTCAGGAGGTTTTTCCTCACAACGGTGTTCGACGAACAAGGAGTGGACCATGCGAAGGCCGACCGTAAAGTCATCCTTGATTACAATCTGTTCAAGGGGTATGGCGGTAAGGCTATTACCATGAAAGCCTTCGATGTGTCCCCGAAAGAAGACGGGAGTGTGTTGACGATGCTTGGCCCCGTTAAATTCCTCGCCAAAACGAACGGCTACAGGAGATCCGGAAACAGTCCCACGGTTGAGGCCGGGCATCGTATGTCCCCGACATTCGTGCCTTTTGACACGCCGGACGAGGATCTTCCCTGTATAGCAATGACAGAGAGACAGAGGACGCCACATAGTTTTCCAACGCAGCAGACGTCAGGGACTGGGAGCCGGCGCCGCAACAAACAGAGCTAGCCGCGTCGTCCTCCAAGCGAGGATGAGCATGGTCCTCCTGTGGGTTCGTCCCGCCAGATGGAGTGTGTTGGACCGTCTCAACCGTCCAGCCAGCAAGACCAAGGCACCCCTGTCATCACATACAAAAGGAAGGCCCTGGGAACACATCCCTCTCCCAGTTGCCAGAAGGACGGAGGTGGTGCGTCCAGGAAGGCGGCTCTGCGGGAGATAAGCGAAGGATCGGACGAGGAAACGGAGGACGATTCCAGGGTATGTGTTGATCGACATCCACAAGGTAATCATGTCGTCGACAATGACGAATGTGGTGTCGAAGAGGACGACGTCGAAGAGGAGAACAGCGAGAGGGAGAGAGAGAGAGAGAGGATCGTGAGGAAACTATGCACGACTGCGAGGGTGGGGAGTCTCAACAATACTATGAGGAGGACGACGGGGGCGATGGAAAAAACGATCATGCCTATCCTGTACGTGATGACGATGGACGCCAAGAGCGGACGGCTGATGTGGGGGTCGACGACGCAACAGGAGATCGGTCGGAGGCCAGTGTCCAGAAAAGGAAGCGACAATCTTCAACAAGTCCAACGGCGGCAGCGGATAAGCGCGCTGCGAAGAAACTCACTGTCGCTGCATCTCGACAGGCGCTCAAAGCTTCTCCTGAGGCAGTCGCTGAAAGCGCGAAGAAACGAAAAGGGTCCGCGTCGACAAGGGCGACAAAAGCGGAGAAACGTCCACCGAAAAGAAAGCAGATGGTGGATGAGGGTGACTCTGGAGAGGATGCCAAAGGGGTTCCTCCAAGAGATGTGTCGGAACAGACACAACCTTCTGCCGACACCCGTGATGAAGTCATCGACACAACACGGTGCTTCTTCTTGGAATTCGATGAAGATGGGTTTGCAAAGAAGAAAAGGGAACACATTGAAGTGGACGTCACGAAGATTTTGCCAATCCCTGAAGGTGACATCCTCTTCAATCATAGATCGTTGGACGAAACGTCGGTGCAGTCCATATATGATGCGATCCATCATGCGGCCAAGGAAACCAACGGGAAGTGGGATTTCATGACTTTCATCCTGGCTCCCATTGTGCCCGACACGGATGGGTCTCAAGGCAAACGGATCACACCGGAGAAATTCGACGTCGAACTGGCTCATACATACAACTAGTATGTTGTTGCTGGCCAGCACACGGCTGAGGCAATTAACAGACTCATTAAAGACAAGTCACCGGCCGAGAAAGTGTATGGCTTGAGGTCATACTCTCACGTACGTGTAGTCTACTTTGACAATGACAGGAATGGCCGGATCCATCCACCAGGGACCGTGTCCCCGAATGACGTCGAGGGGATGAAACGGAAAAAGAAATGGGAAGAGTTCATGAACGCCGCCTGCAAAATGACACCTGATTCCGGTCTCATGAACTCGTCCCTGGAGAACGACTACTGCAAGGACTGGACGAACAAGATGCGCGGATACATGAATCTTGCGCAATGCGGCGAAACAGTATGGCCACTAGTACAAAAATTCTTCAACATGTACGAGAAGGGGCTATTGCCGCGAGTCGACGGTGTGAGATACATCGACCTGCCGGGGAAAGTGGAAGGGAGGCTGCCTGGGCAATACTTCCTCAAGGACAACTCCGACAAAAAAGTCCTATTCCACTGCATTAAGGCCGGGAAGGGGCCACAAGGCGCAACGGTGTCTATACCTGACTTGACGCCGACAATCTCCAAGCTGTTCGACGATATAACAGCGAGAGAGAAGCAAGTGGCGCTTCACCACATGATGCGTGGTGATGTCATCGTGACATCACGTTCGGTACCTCGTGGTAGATGCAACATGGCGAACCTGGTTAAATATACTCGGCGTGAAAGATATATAGTCCGTATGTTTAACTACATATTGTTCAAGGCCGAGGGGAGGTCAAAAGAAGAGTGGAGCGCTGACTTTTTCATCGGTTATACGACCATCTTGGAGCGGTACAACAAAAACGGCCTGATGGACGAGAAATGGGCCGAGGAACGCGACCGCATCCCTGACGACAAGGCGAGGAAGGTGCCGAGGCGTTTGGGCGATCCTGATGAGATTAATGGTGAGAACGGTGTGGAACTGGAGGCAACCCAAGGCATGTACAAGGAAACCCCGTTCCACCTCAAGTGTTTCATCTACGAGGCAATCGACTACTTGGACGACCTGAGAGCAGAGGTTAATCGGATATCCTCCAGTGCTTGTCACATATTTTGGGAAGTGGGGAAGAGGATTACCACGATCCTGCCATTTGAAATAGAACCAAAGAGAGTGCTCACCGACAACGAGGAGGTTGATGGTACGGCGAGGGGGATGAAGATACGGGCAACCATTCTTGAAATGTCAACATCACCGAAATGTGTTCCGTGGGATGATGACGCCTTTTCCAAACTGTACGCTTTTCTCATGACATGCTGTGGCGAAAATTGGGCCTTGATCATTTTCGCGCCGATGAAACACCAGAAACAGGTGATGCAGAGTGTGTACAACTGGGATGATGTTGAGGTGCTCACAAGGTCATGGTACAGACACTATACACCTTCGACAACCTTGAGCAAGTACGACAACATTGCAGTTCGGTACACTGACATGATGGCTATTGTCCTCCACGCCGGGAACAACAATTTGGACAATATAACGGTTCCGCCGAAATTGCGAGCCGAGTTGACAAATTTGAACGTTGAAGAGGGTGAATTTGTGAGGTGCTCAGGGGAGTGTATCGGCGTGGACGGCGACACCGACGCGATTTATTCTTGGATGGAACGAGCGCCAGCACGTCTCCGAAAACTGTGCAGCTCGTTCATCAGGGAGGACAATGGCGTGATGTTGTTGGGCAGGGCGCATGCGGGACTGATTTGAGAACTCGCTCGCGCCGGACACCACGTGTTTGCGTGTGACGACACGACAAAAGAGCTCACATACCTTTCCAAGTTTTTGGAGTTTTATGTGAAGGATCCGAAGAACAAATGCAGGTTCGAAAAGCCCCAAGTCGAGCACCGCAAGGACCGGGATATTTACTACAAGCTCGGGGGAGAAAGTGTGGGCTTACTTGTTCGGTGACGCTCCACGGACGGTGGTTGGTAACGACTACGTCATCAGGAAAAGTGAACTCGAGATAAAAATGAACGAGTACCACAGATCGCACATGGGTGCTTTCCACGTGTTCGTAGCACGTTGTAAGCATCTGTATTTCAATATGAAGAAAAGTGCACTGTCATGCAGGGACTATGCGGACTTGGCACGTAAAGCGGGGAACTTCAACAACATCGATTGTGACGGAGACACGTCAGACTCCGACCTGGATGTTCCGTCGCACGCGACACGACGTTCGGCGCAGGGAGCACGTGCCGAGGAACCACAAGGGAGCACCAATGCAGAAGCGGAGAAGGCGAGGTCGCGTTTGGGAGCGACACATGCTAGTGAGGGAGATGTGGAACATAGAATGAATGCAAGGGGAGAAAAGAATGGTGTACCAACGAACCCGGTGGGTGCGAGTGAGGGAATTGTTAACTCACGGGGCAACACAGGGGGAGGAGAGAATGGGTGTGAAATGACCCCGCCGACAGTTGGACCGTCATCGACACATGCACCGCAGGCCGAGCAGCGAACGCTCACATCGATGGACACAGATGAAGATGAAGACATGGATATGACAGCAGCCATGCCGAAGCTCGTGCCAGAAAAACCGTTACCTCAAGGCTTTGCTCAAGACCCTTCAGTGTTATACATGCTGCAAGACAAGTACAAGGAGTCATCGGGGGAGGACTGGGGTCATCATATTCTCTGGCATGAGGGCGTGTTCAAACCGTGCGTGTTTGCGGGCAAGTGGCAAACAACTGTGAAGACAAGAGACCGCGGGTGGGTCGCGAAGGAAAGAAAGGACGTTGCGATATGGCACTGCGTGACGGAGACGCAACTTTTTCGGCGGGTTGCACAAGAAAATGTGGGTGCAACCGAGGTGGCCGTAGCGGGAAAGGCGAAAACTTTGTTTGAGCAACTGCGTGCGAACAAACAACTAGAATTCAGCACAAAGTTCTACGACCTTGCATCAAGTGTGTCGTATGGCTCCATCGATTGGAAAATCAAACAAGTGTCAGCAGTGCAACGAATCGATAGCATCACCTCTCTGAAGACTCAAGACGTCATCACGTCTAACACCATCGTTGCGATGGCCAGAGGGGATGCAGGTTGCGAAATGGACACACCTGCGAACGCAGGTCACATACAGAATGAACAGTTGCGAGCATGTATTCAACAAAGCACACAGAGAAGCGCAATGGGGGATTCCACTATGATACGCAAGGACGGCGACGACATGGAGTCGGGCACATTGATAGAGCCGCCAACGCGCGGGGTCGACGATGGGGCAACAATCGTTGGATCTTTCGGGTCTTTCGTCGCGACAGTGGCGGCGAGGCAAGGCGTATCTGAAATGATGGAGACCGATGCGGACCAGGATGTTGAAAGCCAGACCGTGAAGGTGGCGCCAGAGCAGGTGGCGCCAACAACAGAGGAGACGAAGAAAGGTGAGGGATCTCGTGAACACATTTCCGTAATAGATATGAGATCGGAGAGTACAGGCGAGGATATGATCCAAGATAACGACCAGAAAGATGACGACGCTGCACCACGAGTGGAAGGTGACGACGAAGAGGACGCGCAACGACCGAGACGGTCAACGAGAGCAGTAATTAAAAAAATTGTGTTTGATGCGTAGGAAAGCCTTAGACGGGTATGGGCGTTTACACGTTTCAGGTTATATTGATGTGTCGCCACAAATCATGATGCGATATTCACCGGTCCTCACATGGGGTGTCTACGCATTTCTTGTTAAATTGATAGGTTGCCGCTGGGTACTATGTTAGAAAACTATGTTAGACAGGAATGAGTGTAAACGCGTTTTGGGTTATATTGTTGTCTTAATGGAAGTGTTATTGTGACACTGCAATTCTCGAAACTATAGTGTCGATAATAGAGGGCGCCCCATCTCGATACGTGTGTGTGTGTGTGTGTGTGTGTGTGTGTGTGTGTGTGTGTGTGTGTGTGTGTGCATCTGTGTGAGTAGGCAGAGGTCGACTCGTCACCAGCGTTAGGTTGTGTGTGTGGATTAAATTGTATGTGCGTGCTTGGTACGGTTTTATAATAAAGACATATGAAAACACACTATATGGGGCACTTTGCCCGTCATGTGTCAAGGACACCGCTAATTTCAGAGAACTTGTTATGCCATCTTCTAGGGCGCTGCGAATGGTCGTCTTAACCTGAATCCCCACGAACTTAAAAACAGGAAACCATACTAACAAAATGAAAAAACAAAAAACACGAAAATATGTGAAACAATAAGGCTGGAATAGTGAACTTATATTCTAAGTACTGCCCACAGTACTGAACATGAACATTAGAGAACTGATGGAAGCAGGGTTACCGTTAACCACCATAAATCGCGAAAAGTATCATTGATCTATTTGCTTTCAAAAAGTACACGAAAATTGGGCAAGAATTGTAACTGTGTTATGCGCCATATTATGAGGAAGATGGAGGTCAGGGTGTTCATGTCAACTCGCTAAAATATCCTGTTGCCAGGATTTAGCAATTGAAATTTTCTCCGCCGTTTCGAGCATACAAATATGGCAGACCCCGATCACGATAGCTTACGCTGCGGCATAATGCATTGTCATGTGCAGAAAGGAAGAACATAGAAGAAGTACGAAGATGCAAACAGGGATAGACGATCCACTTTGCCACGGATAAGTTATCGGAGAAGGAGACGGCTGCGGTGCAACATTTACGAGATTCAGTGCAAGCGGAGAATCGGACGGTCTGGACATCCACGTACAACGGGCCAACGAAAGAAAAACTAACACTAACCGGGCATGATTTGAGTTTGATACTGTATTAAGGCAATTGGTTAAACAACGAAATAGTTAATTTTTATTTGAACCTCGTAAGGCTTGACAACATGTGTCGCATAAGCCATCGCGAGTGTGATAGTGGAGAAGACGAAACAGTAGTAGAAGGAAAAGGGCGCATCCCGATAACAACAATTTTTAGTTCCTTCTTCTTCGCGAAATTGTTCGACGACGACATGCAATACCAATACAGCGCAGTGCAGAAGTGGATGACAGATATCGATGTGGGTGACGTGGACTTAATAATAGCTCCATTCCATGTCCGGAATTCCTACCATTGGACACTAGTAATAGCTGACCTAAGGCAACAAAAAATGGAGTACTACGACTCGCTTACGCCTGACAAAGAATTGGCAAGGAAAGTGACAGGTGGTTTCGCAAGATTCTTGTTCGAAAGATCGGTTGAACAGGGAAAGGTGGTGGATACAAAAGATTTCAACCACATATGGAATGTGCCAGGCATTCCTAGACAGCGTGGCATTAACGAATGCGGTGTCTTTATTCTAACATATGCGTCATTGTTGGCAAGAGGATTTCTCCCGCCATTCAACTTCTCTGTCGACGACATCCACAATATAAGGGGACGGATCGCTTTAGATGTACTTGTCACACCGAAATAGGAGTTACTTGTGCAACAAATGACATTTGATAGACGACATTATGAAAGCAAAACATTAGTTTATTTTTTTGCAAATGTAAAGAGATCATTGGCTCTGATGGATAGACATGCATGAAAATGTCCGAATGTTTTTAACAAAGTAACAACGCGACATGCCCGATTGAATACCATTCATGTGTTACTTCATATGACCTCGTACCCCTTACCCCTTACCCCTTACCCCTTACCCCTTCACCCCCTATACCCATAAAACACTGCATAAAATACATACATAAATCGGAAAAAAATGGACTTTCAATTTCGCGCAAAAAATAAAAAATGAACGTTTTGACGAAATCGCAGTTTTTTCCTCGCCTTCCAATCTACGTGGGAGCGTGGTCTCCCCTTGCAGTGACGACGCAGGGTCGCAGTGCGTAGTGTTTCGTCGTGACCTCGGCTCCTTCGCTAATGGCGCGTGGCACCTTGGAGCGCAAGCTTCAATGGGCAAAGTCCTACGTTGTGTCATCGTTCGACATGGTCGCCTTCAAGACGCATAGAGTGTGGGCTCCGAGGATACGCACAGCAAGGAGTCAGGGTTGTTGGTAACGGCATCTTTCTGAAGTTCGTCGACAATGGAGGGCGATGGGGCAGATGGGCATGCACCATGCTGTGCTGACGTCCACAGAGAAGATGGGGGTGGCTGCGGCGGCCCTAGCCGTCTTCGTCTGCTATTATGTAGAGAGAGCATCCGGGCACATGAAGGCCAGGCTGTGGAGGCGCAGGCAAAGGCTTCTCATACAAAGAGTGCTTGACGCCCCTGAGTGCATGGCAACTTCGGAGGTCATCATCCAACTGTGCGCTGCGCTGGGTTCCGGTGTACTCCCTCGCGCAACACCAAGATGGTGGATGAAGCGGAGAAGGGGTGGGACGTGGGAAGATCTGCGGGTGTGCAATGACGCCACGGATGACAACTTCCAAGACGCCTCGTCTGTTTCCTCCCAGGAAGTCACTCCAGAAAAGAGCAGTCGAGCATGACAAACACGACAAGCGACACGGCGATGAGCAGCAGCAGCGGCATCCTGTGGCGGAGGTCAGCCGTTAATGACAGGGGACAAGGACACTCTGCAGGCACATCTCTTTTCGCTTGTGCAGACATCGGCGACGCACGGCAGTCCGAAACACACACTCCAAGGAGATCACTGTCGGCGAGCGGCTGCCAGCACGCCTAAAAATGTCATATACCCGACCGTTGGAGACCCCGTCAGAACACGATGGACCCCCAAAACAGCCGGCTGCAATCGACGACGCGCCCCGCTGCCAACGGTAAATGTCAGAGGCCATTGGAGGACGTCAACGACATTGAAGGCCGACGATGTCCGTCGCTTGCCCCCTGGACCACGACTGGACGCCACCTTCGGCCTCCAAAGTTCCTTCTACGCTCCATGTTGACACCCCGAGAATCGCGGATCCTCGGACTCCAAGTGACCTAGCGAGGGCACTTGGAGCGAAGGACGATTTGGCTGGGAAATCATCGGAGCCCAAGGGTTTGTCCTCGGAGTGGTTTCAAATTTTCATTTCGAATTTCATCTCTGAGGACAGGTGTAACGACGACGACATCCTTGGAGTCGCGTCCCCGAGGAGTGTCTAACGACGCCCATGGCAGGAGCAAGGGTGAAGGGAACCCAGGCTCCTGCCAAGACCGGCCAGAGGGGGCAAGCCAGATATCTGAGCTGGTAAACACCAAGCCGGAAGCAGGCAGCTGTTGGGGATTGAACCCATGACCTCCTGAATACCACTTGCATGCTCAACCGACTGAGCTATCTTGATACAATCATATGCGTAAAAAAACTCCTAATTACCTTCCAGGCGCCGGTCAGTCCGATATTGATACTTTGTTTGCCTGAATGAGCATGTATCTTTTATTACTTTTTACTACTATCATGCTATTAATAGCTTATTATAGTATACTATTATTCTATTACTTTTTTTTCTTCTTTCTTTTTTCTGTCATTATTATTATCAGATGTATTTCAACCAGAGGGTTGTTTTGTTTTCCTTTTTTCACACCTTTTTTCTAATTATGAAACGGTTTCACCCAGTTGTCCCGACATTGGCAGACATTAGGACTCCAGCCCTAAACCTGCCCCTGAGCCTGGCGTACATAGACCCTGTCTCCTCAGTAGGATTTGCACCCGTGATTTGTCCCTCAACCCGTCGGTTCGTTAGTAGGACTGTTTGTTAGCTGATAGGACTTCACCCACAGATCTTAGTACTTGCAGGTTAGTGTGATTCCGTTAGGATTAGTTAGGGCCCATCTAGAAGTCTCTCCTTGTCTCCTCGTAGGCCTAAGGCCCATCTAGAAGTCTCTCCTTGTCTCCTCATAGGCCTAAGGGTCAGTCCGTAGGTAGCAGTCTGTAGGCCCTAGGTTCTAGAAGGACCTGTCTCAGTCAGCAAGTACCAGCAAAGGGCACTCCCCATATTCTGGAGGGTTCCAGGCGTTTGGAGGGTTCGGCGCGGTTTTGGGCCACCAGGCCAAACCTTCCACGACCTTCCAGGACTCACGCGGCTTGACGCCCAGGCTCCTCACGCGGTTTGGGGCCCAGGCTCACGCGTTTTGGAGGCAGGGCAGGCCACCAGCGGAAGTATGAATAAAGTGGCGCCTTGAGGCCCAGGCTCCTCAGGCTGTTTGGGGCCCAGGCTCACGCGTTTTGGAGGCAGGGCAGGGCACCAGCGGAAGTATAAATAGAGTGGCAGCGAGCCAGCGGCCAGTCATTCATTCGTGCGCCTGTGAGCCACGCGGAAGCGCTGCCTGAGTGACTTGTGCGTGGAGGTCTGCAGGTGCCCGGAGCTAAAGTCGGCAGTGAGGAAGACGAAGACAGCCCTAGCTAGGAGGAGGAAGACAAAGACAGCCATAGCTAGGAGGAGGAAGACGAAGACAGCCATAGCTAGGGGGAGGAAGACGACAGTGGCCATAGCCGCCGAGCTGTTGACGTCAACTTGATGTACAGTGTGTGTATGTGTGTGTATGTGTGTGTATGTGTGTGTATGTGTGTGTATGTGTGTGTAGCGTGGACATTCAGGGTGGATCCTCGTACATGCGTGCATGAGAGACAGTGAGGCTGGTGGTGAAGACAGTGTTCGGCGGCCATAGCCGCGAGTTGTACAGTTGTCTTTAACTGCGTTTTGAGTGGAAGACATATCTCTGAGTTTTCTGTGTGGGCGCAAGGCGCCAGTGCAAGTTGTTGTTGATTCTGAGTTGAAGAAGTTGGTTCGCCATCAGTTCGGCCATGTATGCATGTTGCAAGCAAGTTTGAAGTGCAGTCTGATTTCATTCAAAAAAAAAAAAAAAAAAAAAAGGGTTCTTGCAAAAGTATCTTGTTCAACCTGTGGCCAAGGATAAGCTTGGCTGGAGATGCCTGCTCATCCCCAGCGCCACAGCAATTGCTGTAATTGACGGGGAGTCAGGTTTCCCAGCTTTTAACTGATATGACATTTTGTTAAAAAAAGAAAAAAAAAAAAAAAAAAAAAAGAAGAAGCAGCAGCAGATAATGTACTTTAACACCACCGCCTGTTTTTGAGAAAAGCAACAAGGAAAAAAAAAAAAAAAGGCCTTTAACAACCCAGCTCACGTGGCTGGATGTTACAACCATCAGCTGTTTTTGATAAACAGAGTTTAACAGACCTGAGTTCGATTCCGCATCTAATCAAATCAATACAGTTAACTCCGAATTACCTGGGCCTGGTCAGTTCGTGATGACACACCTCAAGGCCATTGTCGTTTTGGAAAAACAATACAACGAAAATAGCAAACAATCCCCAAAAAAAACACAATCCCCCCCCAAAAAAACAAACCCCCCCAAAAAACACAACCCCAAAAAGAACACAACCCAGGAAAAAAGAAAAGACACAACGCAAAAAAGAACACAACCCAAAAAAAAAAAGCAGAAGCAGAAAAGAAACCCAAAAGAGAACACAACAAAACAAATATTTAACAAAATCAAAAGAGAAACACAAAGAAAAAAGGAGAGCATAACCAGGGAGAAAAAAAAAAAAAAAGACCACTTAAGTTTTGGACCAATTTTTTAGATTAATGCGTGTCACGTTTAATTGCACAGGGGCCATGCTAATTAAAAAAAATAAAATAAAATTTATTAGTATTATTACTCCCTTCTTTTATGGTTCCAAACTTACTGTGACGGATTTTAGGGGCTCAGAAGAGGGGCTACTAAACCCCAAGGAGCCTGGTGATTGTTTGTAAGCCACCAGCTCATTTCTTCTTCTCTTCATCTTCTTCTTCTTCATCATCTTCTTCTTCATCTTCTTCTTCTTCATCTTCTTCTTTCTTTTTTTTTTTTTTTTTTTTTTTTTTTTTTTTTTTTTTTTTTTTTTTGAGGGGAAGAAGATCAACCGTTTATTAACATACGAAAACGCACTAAAATTGGAACGATACAGAGACAGAAGTTTTTTTTTTAATTCTTTTTCGCAGAGAGAGAAGATTATCATGGCCCCTGCGCAAGGATGACATGCAAAAAAACAAGAAATAGTCTAGGCTACCAGCCGGGCCGCCCGGGTCCCGGGTGGCCAGCCTGTGCAAGGACCAAGGAAGGTCCCAGCAAAAAAAAACAAAAAACAAATCCAAAAAATCCGGAAAAAAACTATGTTATGCAGCAGAATAAACTGAACAACTTTTGCCTCAGGGCCACATCGAAATTCTTCATCAAATTCAGAATCAAACATAAAATTAAAGAAGTTTTTTTTTTTCTTTTTAATGTTTTTGGCCCGGCCGCGGCAAGTGACCCCGGGCCACTCTGCTAGCCTAGGAAGTAGTCCATTTTTTTGGCAATAAAAAGGAAAGGACAGTAAAAGATGAGATGACAACCAAACCAACTGCACAAACAAAAAAAAGAACAAATCCCGCAGCGAGATCGCACCAGCAAAGAGGATTGGACCAAGTGACGGAATGTGGATGGGTTTTCAGCAGAGATGCAGAAATGCAGATCAATCACCGTTTTCTGTCCTTTCCACAAACACGTCCAGGCACTGCCAGGTCCTCTCTCTCTCTCTCTCTCTCTCTCTCTCTCTCTCTCTCTCTCTCTCTCTCTCTCTCTCTCT